AAGTTAAAGCTTTTAAAGTCGACTTTAATTACTGCAAAATAATATTTCTCTAAAATCTACTGGAAATATCAGAAAAATGTTTAATTTAGCTCCAGCTCACTCCGTTCTCTCCGTCAGCTCGTAACATTTTCAAATTCATTTCTGCAAAAACAGCAGCAAATTCCAGGAATTCCTGAGTCCAGACCAGTCCTGACAGGAAAGGACGCGTCTTATGCAAACACTTATAATGAAGAGATATTTGTCTTCATAAACTGATCATTTTGGAGAAGATTTCCAGAAAATCAAACACAGACAACTTCAAGAACGAACACTGGATCTATATTCAGTCTGCACAGCGAGGTTTATACTAAATAGCGACAAACAACACAGAACTTGGTCAAGAACGACGTGAAATATGGCTTCATGTATACAAGGCTACGATGAAGAAAGGTTTGCGAACCAAATCGATCGAAATTTTCATTGTCAGATTTGCTTCAACGTCTTGAAAGAGCCCGTTATGTGTTCGAGAAACCAGCATTCTTTTGCCGTTGTTGTATTACGAAACATCTGGAAAAATCTCAAACATGTCCAACGTGTGCTGATGAACTGACTGTAGAGACTTGGCCGAACCACCGCGAATGGTAAAAGATTTTTTAAATGAATCGAAAATTCGTTGCGTCATCGACAGAGGTTGTCAAGAAATTGTAGAAGTGCAACATCTGACCGCCATGAAGATACATGTGGATATACACCAGCCGTTTGTACAAACCAAGGCTGTGGTTTAATTGTCAACAAGCGTGATCTTATTCGCCATGAAAGTGAAGTCTGTGAATTCCGAAAGTTGAAGTGTCACTCGTGCGGAGAAATGACGAAAACTTTGGCAGATATCGAGGAAAGAATGGCGAATATCGAGAAGAATAACTAACAATTGAAACTAAAATAACAAATTTAGACAGAAAAAAGACAAAAAACCGCAGATTAAAAGCAGATATGGAAGGAAAACACGAAGCGGTTAACAACAAAGTCGATGGATTGAAAACAGCTTTGGTCAGAGCTTTTGATGAAATAAAGGACGTTCTTATCACGATGGAGGGCAAGATAGAAGAAAACACAAGAAAAGTAATAAATAGACCAAGTGGTGATAAGGAGAATACAATGTTGCTGGAGGTTTATTGACTAACCTGTAGAGATGTTTAACTGGCGTCAAAGAACATGGTCGCCATTACAATCAATGCAAGGAAACGTTACGGAGCGACTTCATTATTTATAAGAACATATGACTATAGCTGGGGGTGGCTGTGCGGGTCTGACATGTTGATGATAGATTAGAATGAGTAGACCCAAACCCTGATCTCACAACACACTGGATGACTGTCCTGTTAAACTACCTGATAATGAGATACCACAGCATGTGCTGTATAATGCAGTTGATGTCCTGGAGGTGAAAAAGAAAGTTCATCTAAGTTGATCAGAGCAGTCCAGCTGTCCCCCTAACTGTGAAGACCTTATCAAGAATCCCAGAACCAAGACAAGGTCACAGCATGGAAATATTGATGATAATTGTTGATAGTTGGTGGAAGAACAACTGGCGGATACAAAGACAACCTCAGCAGCGTCGTACTGTACGATAAAAGAAGAAGAGCGAAACAGTGCAACCACTCCATAGAAGTGAGTGTTATGGCAACTGTGAGATGGGGAACAACATCTGTTATGGTGGGAAGACAGACATGGCAAGACATAGATACAGTTACATCTACAAGTCAAGACAGAACAAAGTCACATGCTGCCATCAATGAGATGTAAGAGGAGGGATGTACTGCAGTTGTTATTGAAAACAACATGTAGTCCTGGGAGGGAGGGGTGAGCAAGGACACCTGAAGTCAGTTGAAGGTTCAACTTGAAAGGTATTCTTGGGAAGAACTTCCAGAAATGTCTAAAGCAAGATCGTGCACACTGCTGTTGTGTGTGAACAATATGTAAGTATTAATGAAAACTCCTAACATATATGAACAAAAATGAACAATAAGATTTTCACAAAGTATAGAAATAGATTGCAGCATTCTAAGTTGATGTCGGACATATACTGATTGTATTGTGATTAAATTTAAATTGTGTCAGTTCTTAGAATTATATAATTAAAGAACAATAACAAATCTATGAAATAGATTTTTCATGGGGAAGTAAAGTGAAACACCAAATAAAATTTGAAATTATTTTCTGCACCCCCTCCACATAGGTTTCACCACCACCCCCTCCCTCCTAGCTTTCACCCCCCCCTCCCACAGGTTTTTTACACCCCCCTACCACCTAGGTTTTTTCATCCACAACCCCACCCCCCCACCTAGGTTTTTTCAGCCACAACCTGACCCCTCCCCACCTGGGTTCTTCGCCCCAGCCCCTAGACCAAGAATCCTAACTGAGCCTCTGGCTCCATAGGAAGCCCAGACAAATGAGTCGGCCATTTACTATACAACTAGTGACGTAACTTACCATATTAGGGAAGGAAAAAACTCTCGCCTCATTTTCAAACTGTTGACAAATTAAAACACAAATTAGTGAAATTACTAAGTAAAACGGCACGGTCGACTGCTAAATGCCTACCGTAGGTTAAGTTGAATAACAAACTAACTTTCATAATAAAAATAGTGCGAATTCAAAGGAAAGCGCTGGAAAACGTACACAAGCTTGGAAATTGACGAAATTTTCATGAATACATGCGGGATGTAAGTACGTACCCAAAAATGGTGGCGCAGAAGAATCTGATGTCCATCATTCTTGTTACCTTTCACGACCAATCAGATGGTGATCATACTGTTTACGTTTTCGACCAATCAGATTATTCGCCGTCGCCGATTGGGTACGTACTTACATCCCGCATGTATCACGAAAATTTCGTCAAATTTACAAAGTTTGTGTACGTTCCAGCGCTTGCTGAATTCAGCACTATTATTACGAAAGTATAGTTTGATTAATTCAACCTTAACCACGGTAGGCATTAGCAGCCGACGTGCCGTTTTACTATAGTAATGTGTGTTTAATTTGTGGAATTGAAAATGAGGCGAGAGTTTCCTTCCTTCCCAATATAGTAAGTTACGTCGTAGATTTGTCTGGGCTTCCTAGCTGGCTCAAGAAATAGCTCAGTTACCTATTTTAAATATCAGCCGTCGTAAATGTCGTGTCTGTCAGACTGCCACAGACCAAGTCATATTTAAAATTAACAATTAACAAGATTTGGAGAGATAGTTTTACTCTTATTAAAACAAAACCCTGATTAACTAATATAAATTAGTTTGTAAAATAAAATAAAATTCTTGTTTCAAGTTGCTCACAGATTGTTGTAATTTCACGTTTCCATCGCGTCCTTGAAGGCTTTTAGTACAAGATACATTATCTTTGTACTGTCAACCCCATCAGACCAACACGCCATATCTGAAAAATTTCACGACAAAAAGTAAGGTTTTCACAGGGAAAAAAATTTACGATTATGAAGGGAATCTGCGAATATGGAGAAGAAAATTGTGAATATGGATACCTTTCCAGCAGATCTTCCAAGACCTCCTGAAATATCCATTATATCTGAAAAATAAATTGATTATTCAATTTTAACACTCTCCCTCTTTACTGAACTTCAATGAATCACCCCCTGCAAGTATTAAAAATAGGGTTTTGGCAGGGGGTAGCTTCCCAAGATTCATCACTCAGCAAGTACCGTTAATAAAACGAACTCCCCCTGCCCATATTAAAAATGGCGCAGTTGGCAGGGGTGATTGCCTTCATTTACAGTACTTGCTGAGTGAATGAACCACTTATGCAAAAAACTATGGAGTTGTTCTTCTGATAGGTATTCTGTGCCTACACTTTCTTTTATTTTATTGTATTTTTATCTTTACTTGAAAGCACGACATGAAATAACCATTTAGACCTAACCCTGGAGCGACGGGAGTCAATGACCAAATCATTACTCATTCTGTTCGAGAAATGCATTATAGTTTAAAATTTAGTTTAGCCGAATTCATATTAGAGGCGGGAAACTCGTCTTACAAGGTCAAGGAAAACAGGAAACTCGTCTTACAGGGGAAACTCCTCTTGGAAACTCATCTTAGACGGGAAACTCCTCTGATGTGAATCAGGCTACAGACGGGTTTCTCGTCAGAATTTTCCCGCCTAACTTTCCCGTCTAAACAAACGGTTAATTTGAACGGGAATCCCTTCTGGACGAGAAACTCGTCTTAAATTCGCATTTAGACGGATAAATCAGACGAGTTTCTGAAATATCAACACGGTCAAGGACGGAACAAGGGTAAAGCCGCCGCACAAGAGAGCTATCAGCTGAGCTAACGACCTCGCGAGGAAGTTAACTCAGCCTGAAAACTATCCGCACACCATAGAAACTTGCCTCTCGAGGCGAATTCCTCACGAAAAACTATCCGCACACGAGAGTAACTTGCTGAGCTAACAGCCTCGCGAGGTCTTTACCTCAGCTACCAGCTCTCGTGTGAGGCGCGCTTAACTGAGAAAATAAACAAAATTATTATCGTAACAATCACGATACCCTTTTTAGCATTACCCGACCCATCACACGTGTAAATTTTATATCCATTCCAAGACATATTAAGACGGGTTTTTACAATCAACTTTCCTGTCTAAGATGAATTTGGTATAATGTGAAGTGAGAATACCTTCGGCTTCTCCGCTTCCTTGAATATACAATCCATTGTTAATGGTTTGTTGTTGTTTGAATAAGAACGTGATTTTCGTCACATCTTCGCAGCAAATGGTGTCATGACAGAACTCCCTGGTTTGCAAATTATGTCGACACCATTGTGTGTACGAGAGCCTCTGTATAATGATAAATTCACGTTAATTTAATTGTTTTGTAAGATTATAAGAAATTATCGATTCGCTGTGTTGCTACAAGGTTACATCTGGTCTTACCTTGGTGTCCGAAATCACCACAACCCTGACTGTCACATTCACGGATTAAATTTCTGACATTTGAGCTGCAAAGCTGACCAAGTTTAAAATATTCAACCGCATTATCTAGAAAAATAAATCCAGAAAAATACGATGAAGAATAACGAAGTGATACTTGAGCATTCTATGAACAAAGATATATAAAATGTATTCCAGTACCTGCAAAGACTAGGAATATAACAACGATCTTAACAACTCCAAACATCTTTGATCTGCTAAAATTTAATCTTCTAGCTTGAAATGGCTTTTCATCGATTTAATGACCGCACTTATACAGGATGTTAAAAAAACACAACACTTAATATTTATGAATATTTTGATACGCTATACGATCTTTTGTGATCAAAACGAAAGTGAATTTCATAACACTTTGAAGTTGCGTTTTTCTTATTCACCACAGCTGTAGATCAATCCACAAGATATCCTGAACCATTTGTGTGTTGATGAAAACTCATTTAGATTGGAATATATTGCACCGCGAAAATATTCAACTTGACTTAGATAGAGTAAAATACTAAAGTAGGTCACATCTGGTGCATTGCAAGCTAATGAGTTAACAAGAGACACTGAAGATAGTTTTGTTAACTTATTATCTGACAGTATTCTTCCACTGATGAGTAAAATCATCTGACTTAGACACAGTAAAATACTAAAGTAGGTCACATCTGGGTGCATTGCAAGCTAATGGGTTAACAAGAGACAATGACAGATAGTTTTGTTAACTTATTAACTGACAATACTCTTCCACTGATGAGTAAAATCATCTGACATTAGACAGAGTAAAATACTAAAGTAGACCACATCTGGGTGCATTGCAAGCTAATGGGTTAACAAGAGACACTGACAGATAGTTTTGTTAACTTATTAATGACAATACTCTTCCACTGATGAGTAAAATCATCTGACATTAGACAGAGTAAAATACTAAAGTAGGTCACATCTGGGTGCATTGCAAGCTAATGGGTTAACAAGAGACACTGACAGATAGTTTTGTTAACTTATTAACTGACAGTATTCTTCCACTGATGAGTAAAATCATCTGACATTAGACAGAGTAAAATACTAAAGTAAGTCACATCTGGGTGCATTGCAAGTTAATGGGTTAACAAGAGACACTGACAGATAGTTTTGTTAACTTATTAACTGACAGTACTCTTCCACTGATGAGTAAAATCATCTGACACAATTAGGAAAAATCTAGGTTCATAATGCTGGACCATGCAGTTGACCCATTCACTTGCATACATAGTTCAGTGATTATACTCCAAGGCTATCAGGATTTAGTAAACATGAAATTATTTCCATTACACCAGATAACCTTTCACGGCTCCAGAGTCCAGATTCCAAACCTACGATTCCGTGTTTTCCATGGGATCATTTGTAAACAAATACCAGCCCTTATGAAAGACGCTTGAAATATATTTCAGCCAAGAGATTATTTTTTTGTTTCTTTAAACATATAATTAGTCGAAAGATTCGAAATAAATTCTAATGCAGACTTAATCCGCATCGATCATAAGATACTTAGTCTAAATATTTCATTGTTATGATTGATTTTTCTTGGTATAAAGTATCGTTATCCATATAATGAAATAAGAAATTCCTACCAACATAAACACAACCAATTGCAAGTCAGTATTTCAACAATAGGTCAATGACCTTTTGTCACAAGACATGAAAATAATATCATATTTTCATACAAGCAAATTCCTGTCTACAAAACACTCCTTAAATATATTTGTCTTCATAAACTGATCATTTTGGAGAAGATTTTGAGAAAATACAAACACAGATTTCCCAAGAACGAACACTGTATCTATATTCAGTCTATACAGCGAGGTTTATACTACAGAGCGACAAACAACACAGAACTTGCTTTATTATTACGACACAAGAACGACGTGAAATATGGCTTCATATATACAAGGCTACGATGAAGAACGCTTCGAGACCAAAGTCAGTCAAAATTTCCTTTGTCAGATTTGCTTCAACGTCTTGAAAGAGCCTGTCCTGTGTCCGACAAACCAACATTGTTTTTGCCGTTGTTGTATTACGAAACATCTGGAAAATTCTCAAACATGTCCAACGTGTGCTGATGAACTGACCGTAGAAACTTTAGCCGAACCTTCACGAATGGTAAAAGATTTTTAAATGAGTTAAAAATTCGTTGCGTTTACATCGACAGAGGTTGTCAAGAAATTGTAGAAGTGCAGCATCTTGACCGCCATGAAGATACATGTGGATATACACCAGCCGTTTGTACAAACCAAGGCTGTGGTTTAATTGTCAACAAGCGTGATCTTATTCACCATGAAAGTGAAGTCTGTGAATTCCGAAAGTTGAAGTGTCACTCGTGCGGAGAAATAACCAAAACTTTGGCAGATATGGAGGAAAGAATGGCGAAGAATAATATAATATATGAAACTAAAATAACAAATTTAGAAAAAAATATGGCGAGAAATACCACAGTCGCAGATTTAAAAGCAGATATGGAAGGAAAACAGGAAACGGTTAACATCGAAATCAAAGGATTGAAAACAGCTTTGGTCAAAGCTTTTGATGAAATAAAGGACGTTCTTATCACGATGGAGGGCAAGATAGAAGAAAACACAAGAAAAGTAAGAAAAAGACCAAGTGGTGATAAGGAAAATATAATTGTTGCTGGAGGTTATAGAACTAACTCTGTAGAGATGTTTAACTGGCGTCAAAGAACATGGTCGCCATTACAATCAATGCCAGAGGATCGTTTTGGAGCGACTTCATTTATTTATAACAATCATATGACTATAGCTGGGGGTTGTGGTCAGTCTGACATTGTTGATGATATGATTAGAATGAATATTGACCCAAACCCTGATCTCTCAACACACTGGAGTGACTGTCCTGTTAAACTACCTGATAAGTTGTGTTACCACCACAGTGTGCTGTATAATGATCAGTTGATAGTCTCTGGAGGTAATAATGGACATGGTTCATCTGACTTGATCAGAGCAGTCCAGCTTGTTCCTCCCTATACTGTGAAGACCTTATCAAGAATGCCAGAACCAAGACAACGTCACAGCATGGATATATTTGATGATAATTTGTTGATAGTTGGTGGAAGAACAACTGGCAAAGACAAAGACAGCCTCAGCAGTGTCGTACTGTATGATATAAAGAAGAATGAACTGAAACAATTGTCACCACTGCCATATGAAGTGAATCTCATGGCAACTGTGAGATGGGGAGACAACATTGTTGTTATTGGTGGCGTCGACAAACATGGCAAGAGATTAGATACAGTTATCATTTACAATGTCAAGACAGAACAAAGTCACATGCTGCCATCAATGAGATGTGACAGGTGGGGATGTACCGCAGTTGTTATTGAAAATAATATTGTAGTCCTGGGAGGGTGTGGTCAATTTTGCTCCCCGAAGTCAGTTGAAGGTTTCAACTTTGAAAGGTATTCTTGGGAAGAACTTCCAGAAATGTCTGAGGCAAGATTCTGGCACACTGCTGTTGTTGTGTGAACAATATGTAAGGTATTAAGTGAAAACTCCTAACATATTATGAACAGTTGAAATGAACTATAAGATTTTCACAAAGTTATAGAAATAAATTGCAGCATTCTAAGTTGATTGTCAGACATATACTGATTTGTTTTTTTGTGATTGAATTTAAATTGAGTCAGTTCTTGGAATTATATATTAAAGAACAATAACAAATCTTTAAAATAGATATTTTCATTGAGGAAGGTTTAAAATGAAACATGAAATAAAACAGTTCAAACAATAGGTAGGTGGATGAGTGAAAAAAATTGATTAAATATTGACCATGTTGGATCAGAGTTATTAGTTTCTATTAACTGTGGTTTGGATTAAAAAATTCAACTTTCCCAGAAGGATAAATATTTCTGGGAGGAGACATAAAATGAAAGGGTAAACTTACGATATTTTAGAGCATGTGATGCAGGGAATATTTCTGATGTTAGATTTCAACATTGATAATAGGGCCTGTTCATCTCTACCATGATGTTCCCCACATTTGAAATAAAATTCCTTTGAAAGAATGAGATGTTTTTAATTTTTTTCAACAATCTGGTATGAATTGTCTGTATTTTGTGCAATGCCAGATGATTTTACTCATCAGTGGAAGAGTACTGTCAGTTTATAAGTTAACAAAACTATCTGTCAGTGTCTCTTGTTAACCCATTAGCTTGCAATACACCCAGATGTCATCTTTAGTATTTTACTCTGTCTAATGCCAGATGATTTTACTCATCAGTGGAAGAGTACTGTCAGTTAATAAGTTAACAAAACTATCTGTCAGTGTCTCTTGTTAACCCATTAGCTTGCAATGCACCCAGATGTGGCCTACTTTAGTATTTTACTCTAGTGTCTAATGTCAGATGATTTTACTCATCAGTGGAAGAATACTGTCAGTTAATAAGTTAACAAAACTATCTGTCAGTGTCTCTTGTTAACTTATTAGCTTGCAATGCACCCAGATATGGCCCACTATTGTATTTTAGGTGTGATAAGTAAATAACTTACAGCTGTTTTTCCCTGATAGTTTGTATTGGATTCACATTGTCCCTGCATGCAGCCTTTGATCAATACATCATCTCAACCATTTGGACCCTTGCAAGAAACCATAAATATTGTGTAAACAAGATGTTTGTTGACATTCAAAAGCTTTCACAGCAACTTTGTAAACAAACTGTAACAATGTCAACACTTTATAAAGTTGTCTATAAATCTGCTGGAGATTTTTTACAAGTTGTTTATAAGAAAACAGTAAATACCTGTGATAGAACAAAGCTTCCTTCCTTGCAATTTGAACATCGACATCGCAATTTTCCTCGTGTTAGTTTCTTGCAAGTTTTACAATAAACAAAGAAGAAACTTTGCTTGCCTGAGATGAGAGAGGACGAAAAGTATGGATTATTAAACAAACCCTGGTGTTAAAAAGAGGAGGGTTTTGTATTGATGGGGTATAATATAAGATTAGGAGCGTAAGATATATTATTATATGACTAGTGTTTGTTTTTGTAAATCCTGCAATTTGATTGGCTGCTGAGGAGGCGGCATTTTCCCATATTGCCCACGGGCAATACGCTCAATTTTTATTGACTGGATGTAATGGAAATAAATTATTATTCGTGCTTATGGTTTTCCCAAATTAAGTCATATAATAAATAACTTACTGACTTTGATTGTTCGGTCTGTACAGTAAAATATCAAACCTCGATACCGAGTGATAGCGAGGTCAATACGGCACGACCTCGGTTTGATATTTTACCGTACAGACCTCACTCTCAGTCAGTAACTTCTTATTAAAAGACATATAAGGAAGGGTCAAGGGTGTAGGGAAGGGTCAAGGGTGTATGGAAGGGGGGACTATACAGGAGGTTAAATTGATAGAGGGTCTATTAGAGAAGAGGTATATAAAGGAAAGGCTATATTAGGGAGGGAGTATGGGGGAGGGGTTATTTTAGAGAGTTATTTTAGAGGTGTATTATAGTCATGAGGGACATTCTACTAGGGAGGGGTATAAAGAGAGGGTTATTTTGGAGTACTATTTAGAGACTGGAGTATTAGAGAAGTATATTAAAGAAGGGTATACTTACAGGGTGGGGTATAAAGAGCAGGTTATTTTAAGAGTATTATTTAGAGACTAGAGTATTAGAGAAGTATATATTAGAGAGAGGTATACTTATAGGGTGGGGGTATAAAGAGGGGGTTATTTTGGAGTATTATTTAGAGACTGGAATATTACAAAAGTATATATTAGAGTGAGGTATACTTATAGGGTGGGGTATAAAGAGGGGTTATTTTAAGAGTATTATTTAGAGACTGGAAGATTAGAGAAGTATATGTTAGAGAGAGGTATACTTATAGGGAGGGGTACAGGAAAGGAGTTGTTAGAGTGTTAATTGGAAAGGGACATTACAGAATAGGTATGAAGGCACATTAATTGGGAGGGGCATGAAGAGGGAATTGTTATAGGGGGTTAATCAGAGAGAGGGTTTTTCTGTAAGAGAGAAATCCTGCAAAGGAGGGGTATGTGGAAGGAATTGTTATAGATGGAGAGTTAGTTGAAGAGAGGGTGGGAGGGAGAAATATACAGAAGGGTTTAGAGTCAGACAACTGGAGAGAGGGGTTTTTAAAGAAGATTGAGGTGTATTTGTGAGGGATATACTATGGAAAGGTATAAAGAAATGGTTATCACAGTGGGGATGGATTGGAGGTATTTATTGAGGGTGTGTATTAAACCAGGAAGAACACTAAAAAGAGAGTGGTCACATCATTGAGAGGTTTATGAAAGATCTCGTCACCACCTGATTGTTCAGATTCACCATCTTCATCTTCGTCATCCTGTGTCAGTTTCACTTTCGTCAAACCATCATTCGCATTGTAAGTTGCATCAACTGAGATCTGACCAGATTTCTGAACAGCATGAATGACGCTGTGGTTCATCTCTGCATTCTAAAAAAAGTTTCAGATCTCTGAATGTCAGACTGATTGTCGACTGATGGCAATTTAAACACTGAGAATTCTGAGAATCATCTGAAAAATCCTGGAAACTGTCCATGAGTGAGAATTCACGTAAGTTTGGGTCAGGTTTTAGTGGAGAAAGATGGCTTTGAAAAATGTCTTAAAATATCATTTTATCAAGATTCAGACACTGTGATATTCTGAGATGAACTGACTCAAGCAAGACAAGCTGTATCATAATCTATCTCAGATTTACTATAACGAAGATGGTCGCTTTAAACATCAAAATCCCGAACTAAAAAAAACCTCATTTATAAAATCATTTAAACATTTCACAGTAAAGCTTTCGTTATTTCTTTGAAAATTGTTATATAAATCACATTAAAAGCTTGATATTTTCCTAAAAATCACTCACCCCGAGTGTTAATTCATCGGGTAATTCTCGACCGGCAAAAATGATTTTAATTCCAGCAGTTTTGACATTTTTCTTGCGAGCGATTTCGTGTTTTAGTTGAGCGATTGTCCAGGATGGTTGAAACGAAGGTTAAATGATTTGCCGTTGAAGTTTACGGTCACGTCGTGCGACATATTTCGCTAGAAAAGCTCGTGTATTTCCTTGCAATTGAGAGAAAATAATTCAAAATATTTTGCTTCAAAACGAAAGTTTGGAAAAGAAATGTTTGAAAATTGAAAGTTTAAAACGACGGTTGCTTCCACTTACCAAAACAAACTTCCTCCTTTTTTCTTGAAATTTCACTCCCTTGCAGTTTTCTGATCTCTTGGGACACTGGAATGTTTAGCGTTTTCTATCTTGGCAATCAACATAATTCCACAGATTAGGTTAGGATTAGGTTTAAATTTAGGATTAGGTTCAACCCTCTTTAACAATAAACCTAAAACCTAATCTTAACCCAAATCGTAACATAATCTCAAATAATAAATAAGTCTGAGGGATAGTTTTTTTCAACTCATTAACTACCAAAACAAACTTCCTCTTTAATTCCCTTGAAATTTCACTCCCTGACAGTTTTCTGATCTTTCGATACACTGGATGTTTAGCATTTTCTATGTTGGCAGTATTATTCCATTTAATCCTTCAGATTAGGTTAGGATTAGGGTTAAAATTAGGAATAAGTTTAACCGTATTAAACTATAAACCTAAAACATAATCTTAAGATAATTCCTAACATAATCCCACAGATTAAATTCGTGTATTTAGGATTTAGGGAACATGGAGTTTTATATTAAAAACTATCGCAGCATCGTCAGCACTTTTGAAAGTGTAAATTCGCATTTTAATAAAACAAGTTAAAGCTTTTAGAGTCAACTTAAATTACTGCAAAATAACATTTCTCAAAAATCTCTTGAAAATATCAGAAAAATGTTTAATTCGCCTCCAGTTCTCTCTCTCAGCTCGCGATATTTTGAAATTTATTTAGGGAAACACCGCAGCAAATTCCAGGAATTCCTAAGTCCTGACAGGAAAGGACGCGTCTTATGCAAACACTTTATAAGGAAGAGATATTTGTCTTTATAAACTGATCATTTTGGAGAAGATTTCGAGAAAATACAAACACAGACTTCTCCAAGAACGAACACTGTATCTATATTCAGTCTATACAGCGAGGTTTATACTACAGAGCGACAAACAACACAGAACTTGCTTTATTATTACGACACAAGAACGACGTGAAATAATATGGCTTCATATATACAAGGCTATGATGAAGAAAGGTTTGTGGACAAAATCAATCAAAATTTTCATTGCCAGATTTGCTTTAATGTCTTGAAAGAGCCGGTTATGTGTTCGAGAAACCAGCATTCGTTTTGCCGTTGTTGTATTACGAAACATCTGGAAAATTCTCAAACATGTCCAACGTGTGCTGATGAACTGACCGCAGAGACTTTATCCGAACCGAATAGAATGGTTAAAGATTTTTTGAATGAATCAAAAATTCGTTGCGTTTACATCGACAGAGGTTGTCAAGAAGTTGTAGAATTACAGCATCTTGACCGCCATGAAGATACATGTGGATATACACCAGCCGTTTGTACAAACCAAGGCTGTGGTTTAATTGTCAACAAGCGTGATCTTATTCACCATGAAAGTGAAGTCTGTGAATTCCGAAAGTTGAAGTGTCACTCGTGCCGAGAAATGACGAAAACTTTCGCAGATATGGAGGAAAGAATGGCGAATATCGAGAAGAATATGGTAACAAATAAAACAGTTGAAACTAAAATAACCAATTTGGAGAAAAATATTGCCACTGTTGCGAATAATATGGAGAAAAACACCGCAGATATAAAAGTAGATATGGAAGGAAAACACGAAGCGGTTAACAACAAAGTCGATGGATTGAAAACAGCTTTGGTCAGAGCTTTTGATGATATGAAGGACGTTCTTATCACGATGGAGGGCAAGAAAGTAGAAAACACAAGAAAAGTAATAAATAGACCAAGTGGTGATAAGGAAAATATAATTGTTGCTGGAGGTTTATTGACTAGCTCTGTAGAGATGTTTAACTGGCGTCAAAGAACATGGTCGCCATTACAATCAATGCCAAAGAAACGTTTGGTAGCAACTTCATTTATTTATAACAATCATATGACTATAGCTGGGGGTTGCTGTGGTGGGTCTGTCATTGTTGATGATATGATTAGAATGAATATTGACCCAAACCTTGATCTCACAACACACTGGAGTGACTGTCCTGTTAAACTACCTGATAAGTTGGAATACCACAGCAGTGTGCTGTATAATGATCAGTTGATAGTCTCTGGAGGTCGTAATAAAAATGTTTCATCTGACTTGATGAGAGCAGTCCAGCTTGTTCCTTTCTATACTGTGAAGACCTTATCAAGAATGCCAGAACCTAGACAAGGTCACAGCATGGAAATATTTGATGATAATTTGTTGATAGTTGGTGGAAGTACAACTGACAATTACAAAGACAGCCTCAGCAGTGTCGTACTGTACGATATAAAGAAGAATCAGCTGAAACAGTTGTCACCACTGCCGTATGAAGTGAGGCACATGGCAACTGTAAGATGGGGAGAAAACATTGTTGTTATTGGTGGCGTTGACAAACATGGCAAGGCATTAGATACAGTTATCATTTACAATGTCAAGACAGAACAAAGTCACATGCTGCCATCAATGAGATGTAAGAGGTGTGGATGTACTGCAGTTGTTATTGCAAACAACATTGTAGTCCTGGGAGGGAACGGTGAGCGAACAACACTGAAGTCAGTTGAAGGTTTCAACTTTGAAAGGTATTCTTGGGAAGAACTTCCAGAAATGTCTGAAGCAAGATACTTGCACACTGCTGTTGTTGCGTGAACAATATGTAAGGTATTAAGTGAAAACTCCTAACATATTATGAACAATTAAAATTAACTATAAGATTTTCACAAAGTTATAGAAATAGATTGTAGCATTCTAAGTTGATTGTCAGACATATACTGATTTGTATTTTTGTGATTGAATTTAAATTGAGTCAGTTTTTAGAATTATATATTAAAGAACAATAACAAATCTGTGAAATAAATATTTTCATTGAGGAAGGTTTAAAATGAAACATCAAATAAAAGATTTCAAACAATAGGTAGGTGCATGAGTGAAAAAAATTTGATTAAATATTGACCATGTTGGATCAAAGTTATTAGTTTCTATTAACTGCGGTTTGGATTAAAAAATTCAACTTTCTAGAAGATAAATATTTCTGAGAGAAACGTAAAATGAAAGGGTAAACTTACGATGTTTCAGAGCATGTGATGAGGGAATATTTCTGATGTTAGATTTCAACATTGATAACGGTGCCTGTTCATCTCTCCATGATGTTCCCCACATTTGAAATAAAATTCCTTGAAAGAACAAGAAGTTTGTGATGACCTACTTTAGTATTTTACCGTATAATGTCAGGTAATTTTACTCATCAGTGGAAGAGTACTGTCAGTTAATAAGTTAACAAACTAATATCTGTCAGTGTCTCTTGTTAACCCATTAGTTGCAATGCACCTAGATGTGACCCACTATTGTATTTTAGGTCTAATAGGTGGATAACTTACAGCTGTTTTTCCCTGACAGTTTGTATTGGATTCACATTGTCCCTGCATTCGGCCTTTGATCAATACATCGTCCCAACCATTTGGACCCTTGCAAGAAACCATAAATATTGTGTAAACAAGATGTTTGTTGGCATTCAAAAGCTTTCACAGGAAGCTTGTAAACAAGTTGTAACAATGTCAACATTTTATAAAGTCTAAATATAAATCTGCTGCAGATTTTTTACAAGTTGTTTATAAGGAAACAGTAAATACCTGTGATAGAACAAAGCTTCCTTCCTTGCAATTTGAACATCGACATCGCAATTTTCCTTGTGTTAGTTTCTTGCAAGTTTTACAATAAACAAAGAAGAAACTTTGCTTGCCTGAGATGAAAGAGTACAAAAAGTTTGGATTATTAAAGGAGCCCTGGTGTTAGAGAGATGAGCTTATTAGAAAGAGAGAGGCCTAATATTAGAGAGAGAGGGGCTTATTAGAGAGAGAGAGGGGCTTATTAGAGAGAGAGGGGCTTTTTAGAGAGAGAGGGGCTTATTAGAGAGAGAGGGGCTTTTTAGAGAGAGAGGGGCTTATTAAAGAGAGAGGGGCTTATTTGAGAGAGAGTGGTTTATTAGGGAGAGAGGGTGGGTCTTCATGGATGAAGTATAATATGATTAGGGGGGAAGGCAGGGTAGAGAACCCTCTACCCAGGGTTTCTCCATGAGGAAAATGCAAGGGTATCAAGCTGGGGATAGGAGTTTATTGGAGATAGACAATTAGAGAAGTGGTACAGTACTGTGTTAGAGGACATCCAGGTAAGGGGGTATGGGCAAGGGTGGGTTGGGTTAATTGGAAAAAGGGGTTTTAGAGAGGAGGCATATTAGAAAGGGCATGCTAGTAGGGAAGGGTATAGGGGATTGGCTAGAGAGGGTTAATTAGAGAGGGAAATAAGGAAAGAGGTACATTAGGGAGGGGCATACTATTAGGGAAGAGAATAGAGAATAATTTGAGGGTTAATTAGAGAGGAATATTGGAGAAGAGGTACATTAGGGAAGGGCATAATCATGACAGAGGGGAATAGAGTGATTTGAGGGTTATTTAGAGATGGCTATTGAAAGGATATTTTATAGAGAACAAACCAGAGAAAGGGTTATTGGAAAAGAGGTGTATTAGACAGGATTGCAATACAAGGAACAGAAATTATTATAGTGGATTAACTAGAGAGAGGTTTATCAGGAAAGAGGTTTATCAAATCAGGTCATATCAGAGAGGGAGAGGAACGAGGGTGAACATAGCGGGAACATATTGGAGGTATTTATTGAGGGTGTAAAATTAGGAGGGGGATTAAACAGGGTGGGGTCACATTATTATCTAGAGGTTTATGAAAGATCTCGTCACAACCTGATTGTTCAGATTCACCGTCTTCATCCTCGTCATCCTGTGTCAGTTTACTTTCGTCAAACCATCATTCGCATTGTAAGTTGCATCAACTGAGATCTGACCAGATTTCTGAACAGCATGAATGACGCTGTGGTTCATCTCTGCATTCTAAAAAAAACAGTTTCAGATCTCGAATGTCAGACTCATTGTCGACTGATGGTAATTGAAAGACTGAGAATTTGAGAATCCTCTGAAAAATCCTGGAAACTGTCCATGAGTGAGAATTCACATAAGTTTGGTCAGGTTTTAGTGAAAAAGATGGCTTTGAAAAATGTCTTAAAAATATTTTATAAATTCAGACACTGTGATATTCTGAGATGGACTGACTCAAGCAAGACAAGCTGTATCATAATCTATCTCAGATTTACTATAACGAAGATGGTCGCTTTAAACATCAAAATCCCGAACTAAAAAAACCTCATTTATGAAATCATTTCAACATTTCACAGTAAATCTTTCGTTATTTCTTTGAAAATTGTTATATAAATCACATTAAAAGCTTGATATTTTCCTAAAAATCACTCACCCCGAGTGTTAATTATCGGGTAATTCTCGACCGGCAAAAATGATTTTAATTCCAGCAGTTTTGACATTTTTCTTGCGAGCAATTTCCCGTTTTAGTTGAGCGATTGTCCAGGATGGTTGAAAACGAAGGTTAAATGATTTGCCGTTGAAGTTTACGGTCACGTCGTGCGACATATTTCGCTAGAAAAGCTCGTGTATTTCCTTGCAATTGAGAGAAAATAATTCAAAATATTTTGCTTCAAAACGAAAGTTTGGAAAAGAAATGTTTGAAAATTGAAAGTTTAAAACGACGATTGCTTCCACTTACCAAAACAAACTTCCTCTTTTTTCCTTGAACTTTTCACTCCCTGGCAGTTTTCTGATCTCTTGAAACACTAGAGTGTTTAGTGTTTTCTATTTTGGCAATCAATATAATTCCAGAGATTAGATTAGGATTAGGGTTAAATTTAGGATTAGGTTTAACCTCTATTTAACAATAAACCTAAGACCAAATCTTAACCCAAATCGTAACATAATCTCAAATAATAAATAAGTCTGAGGGATAGTTTTTTTAACTCATCAACAGCCAAAACAAACTTCCTCTTTGTCTTGAAATTTCACTCCCTGACAGTTTTCTGATATCACGATAAACTGGATGTTTAGCGTCTTTTATGTTGGCAGTATTATTCCATTTAATCCTTCAGATTAGGTTAGGATTAGGGTTAAAATTAGGAATGAGTCTCACCCTATTAAACTTTAAACCTAAAACATAATCTTAACCCAATTCCTAACATAATCCCAAAGATTGAATTCGTGTATTTAGGATTTAGTGAACATGGAGTTTTATATTAAAAACTATCGCAGCATCGTGAGCACTTTTGAAAGTGTAAATTCGCATTTTAATAGAACAAGTTAAAGCTTTTAGAGTCGACTTTAATTACTGCAAAATAACATTTCTCTAAAATCTACTGAAAATAAAAGAAAAATGTTTAATTCTGCTCCAGCTCTCTCTCAGTCAGCTCCCGACATTTTCAAATTCATTTTTGGAAACACCGCAGCAAATTCCAGGAATTCCTGAGTCCTGACAGGAAAGGACGCGTCTTATGCAAACACTTTATAAGGAAGAGATATTTGTCTTCATAAACTGATAATTTTGGAGAAGATTTCGAGAAAATACAAACACAGACATCTTCAAGAACGAACACTGTATCTATATTCAGTCTATACAGCGAGGTTTATACTACAGAGCTACAAACAACACCGAATTTGCTTTATTATTACGACACAAGAACGGCGTGAAATATGGCTTCATATATACAAGGCTACGATGAAGAAAGGTTTGTGAACCAAATCGATCGAAATTTTCATTGTCAGATTTGCTTCAACGTCTTGAAAGAGCCGGTTATGTGTTCCAGAAACCAACATTCTTTTTGCCGTTGTTGTATTACGAAACATCTGGAAAATTCTCAAACATGCCCAACGTGTGCTGATGAACTGACCGTAGAGACTTTGGCCGAAGCACCGCGAATGGTTAAAGATTTTTTGAATGAATCCAAAATTCGTTGCGTTTACATCGACAGAGGTTGTCAAGAAGTTGTAGAATTACAGCATCTTGACCGCCATGAAGATACATGTGGATATACACCAGCCGTTTGTACAAACCAAGGCTGTGGTTTAATTGTCAACAAGCGTGATCTTATTCACCATGAAAGTGAAGTCTGTGAATTCCGAAAGTTGAAGTGTCACTCGTGCGGAGAAATGACCAAAACTTTGGCAGATATGGAGGAAAGAATGGCGAATATCGACAAGAATAATGTAACGATTGAAACTAAAATCACAAATTTAGAGAGAAACGTTGAAAAAAACACGGCAGATATAAAAGCAGATATGGAAGGAAAACTCGAAGCGGTTAAAAACGAAGTCAAAGGATTGAAAACAGCTTTGGTCAGAGCTTTTGATGAAATGAAGGACGTTCTCATCACGATGGACGGCAAGAAAGAAGAAAACACAAGAAAAGTAAGAAATAGACCAAGTGGTGATAAGGAAAATATAATTGTTGCTGGAGGTCATTGGACTAACTCTGTAGAGATGTTTAACTGGCGTCAAAGAACATGGTCGCCATTACAATCAATGCCAAACTATCGTCATGGAGCAACTTCATTTATTTATAACAATCATATGACTATAGCTGGGGGTTGGTGTGATTTGTCTGACATTGTTGATGATATGATTAGAATGAATATTGACCCAAACCCTGATCTCTCAACACACTGGAGTGACTGTCCTGTTAAACTACCTCATAAGTTGAGATACCACAGCAGTGTGCTGTATAATGATCAGTTGATAGTCTTTGGAGGTGAAAAGAGAAATGTTTCATATGACCTGATCAGAGCAGTCCAGCTTGTTCCTCCCTATACTGTGAAGACCTTATCAAGAATGCCAGAACCAAGGCATGGTCACAGCATGGAATTATTTGATGATAATTTGTTGATAGTTGGTGGAACTACAACTGGTTATAACAAAGACAACCTGAGCAGTGTCACACTGTACAATATTAAGAAGAATGAGTTGAAACAGTTGTCACCACTGCCGTATGAAGTGAATCACATGGCAACTGTGAGATGGGGAGACAACATTGTTGTTATTGGTGGTGATGACAAACATGGCAACAGATTAGATACAGTTATCATTTACAATGTCAAGACAGAACAAAGTCACATCCTGCCATCAATGAGATGTAAGAGGTTTGGATGTACTGCAGTTGTTATTGAAAACAACATTGTAGTCCTGGGAGGGTGTGGTCAATTTTTCCCCCTGAAGTCAGTTGAAGGTTTCAACTTTGAAAGGTATTCTTGGGAAGAACTTCCAGAAATGTCTGAAGCAAGATACTTGCACACTGCTGTTGTTGTGTGAACAATATGTAAGGTATTAAGTGAAAACTCCTAACATATTATGAACATTTGAAATGAACTATAAGATTTTCGCAAAGTTATAGAAATAGATTGTAGCATTCTAAGTTGATTGTCAGACATATACTGATTTGTATTTTTGTGATTGAATTTAAATTGTGTCAGTTCTTAGGATTATATATTAAAAAACAATAACAAATCTTTAAAATAGATATTTTCATTGAGGATGGTTTAAATTAAAACATGAAATAAAAAAGTTGAAATAAGCTTTTGTGGAACCCCTCCACCTAGGTTTTTCACACCCCTCCTACCACCTAGGTTTGCACTCCCCCCCTCCCACCTAGGTTTTTTCAGCCACAACCCCACCCCTCCCCACCTGGGTTCTTCTCCCCTGGTGCCCCAGACCAAGAATCCTAACTGAGCCTCTGCCTGAAGAAATAGTTCAGTTACCTATTTTAAATATCAGCCTGTCTGTAAATGATGTCTGTGTCTGTCAGACTGCCACAGACTAAGTCATATTTTAAAATTTAACAATTAACAAGATTTGGAGAGATAGTTTTACTCTTTATTAAAACAAAACCCTGATTAACTAATATAAATTGGTTTGTCAACTAAAATAAAATTCTTGTTTCAAGTTTGCTCACAGATTGTTTTGTAATTTCACGTTTTCCATCGCGTCCTTGAAGGCTTTTAGTACAAGATTTACATTATCTTTTGTACTGTTCAACCCCATCAGACCAACACGCCATATCTGAAAAATTTCACCACAAAAAGTAGGGTTTTTCAAAGGGAAAAAATTTACGATTATGGAGTGAATATCTGCGAATATAGAGAAGAAAATTGTGAATATGAATACCTTTCCAGCAGAGCTTCCAAGAACACCTGAAATATCCATTTTATATCTGAAAATGAAATTGATTATTCAATTTTAACACTCTCTATGAATGACCGCCCTGCAAGTCTTAAAAATGCCACTATTGGCAAGATAGGGCAAGATAGAAGAAAACACAAGAAAAGTAAGAAATAGACCAAGTGGTGATAAGGAAAATATAATTGTTGCTGGAGGTTTAGGAATTAACTCTGTAGAGATGTTTAACTGGCGTCAAAGAACATGGTCGCCATTACAATCAATGCCAAAGGATCGTGAAGGAGCGACTTCATTTATTTATAACAATCATATGACTATAGCTGGGGGTGACTGTGGTGGGTCTGACATTGTTGATGATATGATTAGAATGAATATTGACCCAAACCCTGATCTCTCAACACACTGGAGTGGCTGTCCTGTTAAACTACCTGATAAGTTGAGATTCCACAGCAGTGTGCTGTATAATGATCAGTTGATAGTCTCTGGAGGTGAAAAGAGAAAAGTTTCATCTGACTTGATCAGAGCAGTCCAGCTTGTTCCTCCCTATACTGCGAAGACCTTATCAAGAATGCCAGAACCAAGACAAGGTCACAGCATGGAAATATTTGATGATAATTTGTTGATAGTTGGTGGAAAAACAACTGACACTCTCAAAGACAACCTCAGCAGTGTCGTACTGTATGATGTAAAGAAGAATGAGCTGAAACAGTTGTCACCACTCCCGTAT